TTCGTTTTTTGCGGAGTCATCTGAGCACCGCACAGCCCAGCCTGTTCGGTTGGGGGCACGCGTAACAAAAGCGGAAGGCACAAAGGGTACGTGTTCCGCGTTGGCTGCAAGGCTAGGTACGGATGGATGCTTCCAGGCAGCAGTGCATTTCGCAGACAGACGCGGCAGGATTGCAGGAACACTCGACTCCAAGTTACCTCTAGCAAGTCAAACACGGAGGCATCGATTGATATTGTTTCCGCTGTTTGTTCCAGAGCCGCAGGCCATAACTAATCTTCCTCCCCAACGTCATCATCATCCCGAATTCCAGTCCAACTCGCCCCTCCACATTCCCTTACCAAACTAGTTCATCAGCCCAAAGAACTTCAACATCACCGGCTCATTCACCGGAGCCGTATGCCCCACGCCTGCGCCCATATACCCAACCAATTTGCTGCCATCCCCATACACCATCTGCGTATACGCCTGGCTCGGCACTCCGCTGACATTCCTCGAAAACTCGATGCCCAGCACATTCGACCACTGCTTCAGGGCCTCCATCGCACACTTCGGATTCACCAGCGTATCGGCAGCACCATGGATAATTTGCATCCTTGGTCTGCGTCCCGTATACCCTGGGTAAGAATTCCTCACAAAGTTGCCCCATTCCTGCGGAGTGTGCTGCAGTCCCCTGGCGCACGTCTGGTTGGGCGAGAAAGGAGTAGCCGACTCAGCGCCGGCGAAACAAGCGTGGGCAACGCCCGAGTACGCAGCTCCGGCCTCGAACACCTCCGGGTAAGTGCCGGCGAGGACATTGGTCATCATGGCACCCGAAGAGCTGCCCATCACGTAGACGCGCGAAGCGTCGCCGTTGTACTTGGCCATGGTGTAGTTCACCATGGCAAGGATGCCGACCGAGTCGCCACCGGCTCCGTGCGTGAGAGAGGCAGGGTCGTTAACTCCCCAGCACTTGGACATGTTGGGTGTGCCGGGGTAGATGAGGATGAAGCCAAGTTGGTCGGCGTAGGAGGGGAGGCGTGTGCGGGAGTACCAGGAAGGGGCAGTGTCGCCACAGCCGTGGAGCTGTCGTCACCTCGTTAGCATCGCGGTTGTGTGGGAAGAAAGATAAAAGTACTCACGGCTACGATGATGGCGGGCTTTGTGGCCAGCTTGTCAGGGACGTAGGTGTACATCTGGATTTTGGTGGGGTTACTGCCCCAGTTTGTCACCTGCTGCAGCGAGGCACAGAGGCCTGTGGCCGCGGTGAGGGCGAGCCCGAATAGTGTTTTGGCCAGCATGGTGAAAAAGGTGAAGGAAGTAGTCAAGGTGTTGGTAGATGATGGCTAACTGTTTGCTTTCCCCAGATTCTCGATCCGGACTGGCATGGCGCCAGACCATTTATACCTTATTCATCATCCCAAGGACCTCTCAGAGGCCAATCCACGCCTTCATCGAATCCCCTCGTTCAATATCATCCTCCTCGACAACATTCCCACGATTCGTGCGCATAAAGGCCTAAGCGAAGTGGCCGTAAAGAGCAAAACTTCCAACTAGGCAAACTCCGAAAACTCCGTAAGCGATGTTGCCCTCGTGCAAGCGATCGTCGTGCAAGGGAACGAGAGTCTTGAGGTACATTCGGCAAAACAAGACACTCGCACAGATGGCGGGTAAATATTGGCCCTCGTCAACCAGACGCGTCACAACGTAGCATTTCCCCAGATCTTGGTATGGTACCCCAGAGCGTCCAAATAACCTTTTGACTTTTGGAGCCAAAGAGCCGCAGCTTCGGCAAGTGGCGTCGGTAATTGACGTCAGCCATCAATGCCAGTGCATCGAAACAGCACTTCCTGCTCTCCAAGAGGGACTTGACGAGTTGATCTGACCAAATCTCTGGCGCTGTACCTCTACTCTGTGATGGGGAAAGGTATTCCCCATTCCCTGCCTCGAAACTCTGCTGGTTGTTGTCATTCGTGCGGAGGGACACTCTGTTCCATTTGCCGCTGACTGTATCCGAAGTGACAGCGAGGAGAGCAGCAATGATCGAGCATATCATCCATATTAGGTAGTGATTGTTCATCGAGGGCGAAATGCGGTCATGGACCAAATCTGCAAAGCCGTGTATCTGGACGGCGAGCTATTGACAGAGTTCGAGAGTAGATGTTACACATCCACATCTTGTTGAATCGACTGACTTCAACGCCCACTTCGATCTGGACTGTTATGCACGCTCCCTTCGTCACAGTTACGGTCAGTTCCAAGGCTCAAGATTAGTGCCTTTGAAGAGCCTACGGAAGTGTTTGGACATGAACGCATCATCACCTCCGGTGGTTCCAACATCGCCATCCAGGTCCAGTGACCGGGGATTTGTAACACTCCAGACTGTCAGCCAAATGGCCCTTTGACGTTATACCTTCGCCGGCTTTGACCGGCGTTTCGCCGACCGCGCCGCGCCAACATGGGGACGCCTTTGTTGCCTATTCCCAAGCTTTGAGCGTCAAGCTAGACGCCCTGTCCCGACAAATCACAATGACTTTTAATCGGCGCTTTGAGAGGGCGCACTGATGTGGACTGTGGTACATGTGTGATGACTGGCTGCCCGGAGCAGCTGTGTCCTGTGTAGTGGTCGAAGGAATGAGGTTGAGCAGATGGGACACTAGTAGCGAATGGCTGGAAGGCGGGTGTTGGACACTACGCCAAGGTAGCTAATGAAGGCCAAGTTCGATTGTTTGTGGAATTGAACTGAATCGTGATGCCATGGCCTGGTTGAGATGCTTTGTTTCCAAGCCTGCGACTGCATCCTCCTCTGCTCCTTTCTTCCAATTCTAACCCTTGACCATTCCCCCCTTCTTGAGGAACGCCTCCATTTCCTCTCTCTTCACCTTCAGCCACCCTTCCACTTCCCCCTTTCTCATTTCCTTTCCTTCTTCTCCGTACCCCAACCTCACCAATTCCCTGACCAACTCACCCTCCACCCCCTTAAACACTCCCAGTTTCTCCACCACCCCAAAACACCTCGACGCTTCACTCCCCTCCAACACACCCGCTATGCTAACTGGCAATGGTCTGCCTTCTGCCTCCAATTTTTCCTCGGCCTCCCGGAACTTCTGGCGGTATAGATCCCTCGCCTTCTGCTTTTTGACGGTCTTATCGTATTCGGGGTGTTTTTCGTCACGAAGGATCAAGGACTCTTGCTGGGAAGAGAGCAGAGGGAACGGAACAGGATAGTAAAACACCTCCCACGGAGCAAACTGGGCCATCTCCCAGTCTATGACGGCTAAGAAGTCGTAAGCGCTACCGGAGGAGAAATCGGGCGAGGTAGAGACAAGGATGTTTTGGATGCCGAGGTCCATGTGATTGAAGGGGAAGGGGCCGTTGATGGCGGGAGCAGAGGGCGGGGAGCGAAATAGGGGGGAGTTGTGGACGAGGTCACGGAAGATGAAGTGGCCTAATTTGTTGAGTTCGGAGGGGGATTCGGGATCGGGATTGGTTGAGTGGGAGGGTGATGGGGGTGATGAACGTTGAAGAGTAGCTTTGAACCTGGCGTCGGCGATGTTGCGGAAGTACTCCCAGCTTGAAGATAGGGGGCCGCAGTCGGCAAAACTGTTGATGGATGCCGTTGCTATGGGGCCAATGGTTGGACCTTTCTCCGGGGAATACTCCGATATGGAACCGATGGTTGGGAAGGTGAAGGAGGCGAGTTCGGCTTGGGCCATCGTCCATTGCGACATGATATGTTCTTGCGTCTTGATCTGCTCTATCGTCAGCACCTCCTTCCTCTGTCCACTCTAACCACAACGAGAACGAAACCCACCGGAAAATCCCAAACATCTCCTCCTGTATGTTCCACCGTAACCCCAAGGAAACCTTTTATCAGCATATACGACGCCCCCACTCTCCGCGCCTGTTCACTCCCAGGTTTCTCAACTGCATAATACTTTGGAAACGGAAAAGTCTTTATATTATCCCCGAGGAAAGCTATCGTCGCTACTTCGCACTGCACTAGATATGTCTCGGCCTCTTCTTCATGATCGCCCTTAGCCTCATGCTCGGGATGCTTTGGAAGACGTACGCGGGCGATAACAAGACGCCGATCGTCGGGCGTAGAAAACTCGAAGCAGCACCAGTACTGCCCAGCAGAGAAGCGGTCAGCGAGCCTGACGGGAGAGTGCAGCAGCTTTTCAACGTGGGATTTAAGGGCGTCCTTGTTTATGGAGGACATGAAGCGTTCGAGACGGTTGCGCATTGGGTCGTTATCTTTCCAGTCATCGTAGGAATTCCAGCGGTCGGAGGGACGTTGTTTCTTGGGCTGTTCGTGTGGAAGGGGGGTGACGGAGGTGGACTTGTCGAGTCGAGAATTGTGACGGAGGAAAGCCATGGCGGTGGTGGTGGCCACTTACACGGGGCCGGGCAGCGGCATCAGGTGGTGAAACCGAATTTGGGCGTTGGTGACGGCAGAATCTGTGACTTGACTGGAAAGCCCAGTTGAGGATGGGTTGATCTCCTGATCTGACTGGGGTTTGTTGGTGGAGAGTGACGGAATCAGAGGGGCGTGACCATGAGGGGGAATGATATTTACAACCACTATCCCTACAACATGATGTAACCCGCCTGCCATCGCCTTTGCGCGCAATCCCACGCTCCCACGGTATTGCGACAACCAGAAGCCATATCCGGGATATCAATTCCATCCCAACTCGTATATGCATGATCACGCATCAGATGGGGCTCTAAGGGTTGGTCCGACGCAGTGTCATGTCGTACGGTGTGGTTGTGCGAGGCCATCATTTCTTATGGTATGGACAATAAGGGGGGTAGATTAGGTGCCAACTAACAACAAGCGGTTGTATAGTGTAGCGGTTATCACTCCGGATTCTGAATCCCCTCAGAACATTCCGGCAACCCCGGTTCGATTCCGGGTACGACCTCTTTTTGACCCTTTTTCTTTTTCTTTTTTTCTTTTTGCGTCGCCAAGCTTGAGGCCTTTTTCTTAAGCTGGGATTTCTTCAACCGCACAACAACAAGGTTGTATAGTGTAGCGGTTATCACTCCGGATTCTGATTCAATTTGGATATTCCGGCAACCCCGGTTCGATTTCGGGTACGACCTGATCTTTTGCTTTTTTCTTTGCGCGACAAGCGTTTCTTTGCTACCAGCAACAGCCAAAGTTTCAGGAAAAACAAGACTATCACACGCGAGAACAACACATAATTCGCCTGTGCAAATGCTTGTCGAACGTTTTTCATGCTAGCATGGGCAAGACGAATAACATAAGAGGCAAGATGCATCAGCACTTTTTGCTGCAAGAAAGGGAAGATGGAGATGTAACCGTAAATTGTCAATAATCATCTTAGAATGAAGAGCACTTGACATCCGACCCCAGACGTGAGCAACAAAATGAAAAAAAAATCAGTGGCACAACATTTCGCCAGCTAACAAGCTGAAGCTTCAACAATAGGAAAAAGGTAGGTCGTACCCGGAATCGAACCGGGGTTGCCGGAATGTTCTGAGGACATCAGAATCCGGAGTGATAACCGCTACACTATACAACCTTCACAGGCGGGTGATGATTGCTCGCTGTTGAGCTGCGTGCTGGGAGTGTGTCTTTATCAACCCATGTATGCCCTAATCAAGGTGGAGATCGGGCATGTAGTGGACTTGTGCCCCGGACGGGACCCTAGGTGCCTGGAAACGATGAGGCCGGGATGGCCCGCTCCCGAGGGCGGAGACTCCACAGGGGTTGAAGATGGGGACGTCATGGGCGAAGCTGTCGCAACGAGGATGCTTGTTGAGCAACGTGGACGTGTAGAAGATCTGGTATTTAGTGAGCACATTGTACACACCCTATGCTTCCGCGACTGACGACCATCACCATGTATACTGTCGTTGCCACTTTGCAAGGACGGCTCCGCGAAGACGATGCCAGAGCCGCACAAGCGTACCATAAGCCACCGCCCAACTGGGAAGCTTGGGCGCCTCGGCGCAACAAAGGATCAGTTGCACCCGGGCACAGGCTCGGCAGACAACCGGGCAGTGTAGCCGATATTGTTGTGGTGGCTGTCATCCCTTCTTTCAGCTTTGACCATTCGTTCCCTGTTCCGAGCGAGTGTAGAGGCGCCACTAGGGCCTGAAACAGAAGCCACGGGTATATCCTTCCGAGCCGCCCGCGTGGGTTTCTCGAATCCGGCACGGGTTGATCATGTCTCTCAATAAAATATGAAAGACCCGGAGGAGGTTGCATGGCAGTTTCGCACTGGTATGCGCGCGACTGTGACACGGGCTTGGCAGTGGTTCTTCAGCTCTTGGGACTCGGGATGGGACCGTGCTTCATATTTTCGTGACGGCGTATGCAGAGGTTTCGGTCGTCGAGCTTCGATGGTATTTACCGGGAGGCCGTAGCCATATGTAATATCGATTCTCGGTCGGCATCATGATTGTGCACTGGTATGGATCATGCGATTGTGGCTGTCGAGGTAGATAGCGGAAGGGAATGCCGGGCCTGGACAGCAACCGCTGGGACGCGATGTCAGGCCAATATACTTTGGCAATAACAGTCTGTTTAGACGAGCATGATGTCAGCAGTTGCTCGGCCATGACCGGACTTCACGATGACTGGAGTGGAAATGGTTGTAGGTCGGGACGCGGATCAGCGTTGATGCCCCGGGAGGGGGAGAAAGACGTTACGATTTGCGACTGGAGATTGGGCTTCTGGGCTGAACCTCAAGGTAGCGAACGTTGTTGGAATGGAAGACGATGATGGGGAGGATAAGGGAACAGACGAATTGCAATCGACAGGAGAGCAACACTGAAACAGACAGGGCAGCACTTGGCAGGGCAGCGGCAGGCAGTGACTGGTGGATGAGTGTCCCGCTCGTGCATGTGCGACAGGGCACGATAAGCAGAGGACCCACTATAAACCGCGCATGGAACCAGGAACCACCGCGCCCAGGAACGGCGAAGCTGTGGAGACACATTTCGAGAAACACAGCACGGACCTTTCTTTCTCATCGTGTGATGGGAAAAAAAGGGGAGGTCTGAGATCAAACAAAGGTCGTCGTTGTTGTTGTTGCTGTTGACATGTCGAGAATGACACAAAAGGGCATTGGAATATCAGATCTTCATCTTGATTCAGTATCCATCCTGGTCTCGGGCGCCAGTTTTGGGGACTTTGGATATGTACCCAAGGTAGGTAAGGAGTGAGGGAAGTGGAGGAGGGAGGGATGCCAAGATTCGAGATTACCTTAATTGAGGTGTTCCCCGGACATATTCGCGGATTCGACGGCAAGCCACGTTGGATGGTGGTAGTGATAGTCCACGATATCTTTGCTCTCAAATTTGTGAGTCTGTCTAGATAGAGATATCGTGGCTGTGCTTCTCTAAGTCTAGAGTCCACTGTAAGGTACCGTTCGGTATTACATGATTGCTTTTTCCGAGTCAATGAATTTCCCACATCCATCACTTTCATCCCGTCCGCACAAGCCAGGGGCTGCTGTCACCATCATCGGATGAATCTACCCAGTCAAAGTCAAGACGACATGCGCCTTGAGGCTTGACAGTTCTCGTCACCTTTCAGCTTGACGGGCGACGTGCATCTGTTGTGTTTGTGTAATGTAATGTACAAGTTCAAGTGTTTAAACCCCTTTCGTGACCCCTGTCGCCAATCTGGACCTTCAGTGGACTTTTAGTGCTCTTAGCGCATTGCGGTAAAATTGGGTACAGTACGTGGCAAGGGAATCGTTGCGCTTCAACGAACCTTGCGCAACAACGGAATTGACAAGTCCAGTCGCTCCTTCGATTCTCACTCATTCAGTTCCAACCACGAAACCCACGACGGACTCGACGACGAGCCCACATCCAAGCTCCTGTCCTCAGCACATTCAGGACCGCCAATCCCCGACCGAATACGCTCGTTTCGTTCTACAGAGAGAGAGAGAGAGAGGCACCGGCCCGTCTCCTTTACCCAAATCACCAGACATCCAGACAGGAGGGACCCAGTCCGGACGAACCACTCAGTCAGTCACCCATCAGTCCCTTTGCTCGTTAGGAATATCTCGAAACCCCTCAGCTTAGCTGACCTCTGACGAGTCCAACCAGACAGTCAACCCACGACATATTTCATACCCCGATCTCTTAATCGTAAACACTAATACCGGACAACCGACCGACCGATCGACGAGCTGAGCTCCAGGTTCCTAGACGGCGACATCTACAGCTATCCTCTTGTCGCAGTATCCACCATAACTCAAGACATAGATAGATGCCTTTTACCTGGCCAACACAGTCAAGATGCCCTGGCAACCACTGCCCCGAATTGCCTTCGCCGTAGCTACATACCCCTTCACTGCCTCCAGCGCAGCCGACCTCCCCCTCGAAATCGGCGACGAGCTCTACATCATCGAAGAGACACCCGATGGAAACTGGTTGAGAGGCTATCTGGTCGCCCCTCCAAGTCTGCTTGCCGGCCTGACCACTGTGAATGGCCAGACATTAGAGGCTCGCGTCTTCAGCGGCATCTTCCCCCGCAGCTGTGTCGAGGTACGCGAAGTGCTGGGCGAGAGTGACGAGACTGACGACAGCGAGCCCGACAATGGAGATCCAAACGGAGAGAACAAGAAGAGAAGGAGGAGCAAACGGGTGACAAAAGAAGGCCGATTGTCCGTTCCCGTAAAACGCGATCCCAATGCGCCTCGACCACCCGCTCCCGTGCCTATGCTCAAGATTGGCGACGAGACACCCACTTCGGCTGCCGAACCCCTCATTGATGAGATCGCATCCTGCCTCCGCGAATGGCACTCAACAAATCTCCACGGGCTCCTTCTCTCTCGACAGTACGAAAAGCTCGACACTCTTTCCAAGCTGATTACAAGCCTCAACCTCTCGCGACAGCAGTTTCTACACAATGTCCTCACTACTTGGGAATACGAAAACCTACGGGAAAAGACGGTTTGGGATCTGGTCCGTGTCAACAAGCTCTGTGGAGGAGAGGTTATTGTGCGCGACCCAAGTGCCCGTGGCCGTGTCATGACGGGCGATGATTCTGTCGTGGAAATAACCCAACTGCAGTCCGTCATGAGCCTGCTGGACGAGCCTCCAACGACCACACCCGAGTTGACGGCTTTGCACCATTTGATGGTGGACATCAAGTGCTTTGCCGGCGCATCTACCGAGTCGACAACCCTGGTTCTTTACCTTGCAACCAAAGCACCCGGAGGAAGAGTCACGCCTCTGTCGGAGAGTTACATAGTAGATGTGCCAGCTGGCGGCGGACAACTAACCAACCTAGCGCGGACCTCACAGATGCGCACGCTTTTCTCCGATCTCTCGTCTGCCGACATTGGTGATGTACAGTCCTCCAAATCCGAGTTGTTGTTGGTCGTCAAAATCCGGGCGCCTCAGCCAGTTGTAGCAGCCAAGCCGAGTTCTCGATCAGGCGGGCCCTCGAACAGCTCGCCCCAGATATCAGCCAAAGAGTCAAAACCACCCCTGGCGTCTGGGAACAAGGCCTTGCGTAGGAGCATGGTTTGGGCCAACAAGAACACCCGGGGCGCGTTTGCTAGGAAGAACTCGGACCTTGAGGCCTTGTCGGAGCAGGCCGAAGAACAGCAGATCAGCAATGAGGCTCTTGAAAGTAGGGACGGAGGACCACCGAGTACCGCTAACTCGAGAGCAGGTCGTCCTTCGGTGGACGGCCAATTCCCACCGACTACAGCCGACAGGACGGTCGGCGTTGGAGTGCTGAAGCTGAACTCGATCATGAAGCAGCAGGGCGAAGAGGTCGAACATGTGGTCAACATCTGGGCGCCTTGCTCCAAGTTCCCATCGGACAGACACGGTGAAAACAGCGAGGAATGGGACCCACTCATAAAGGAGATATGCGACAGCAGATCAGGGCACCATGAAAGATCAAGGAGAGCCGAAAGGTTACAGATACGGCTTCGGTCCTTCAACAACCCGGACGCCGACGCCCTCATCAAGATGACGCCTACGGTCTTGTCTGGGATCTGCAAGACCAACAAGATGGGTTTCTCTGGAGCACCGACCAAGCCACGATCGGACATCTATGTCACCATTGACGAAGCTACCTTGACCAGGCAGACCCTACTGTCCCG